CCCCCAATTAGATTCTGGATATGGAAAAGTATAAAACTGTACATTGGAGTCAGGTGCAGCTGGGACAGTCTGCCTGCAAGCACCAGAGCAAGGGTAAATAGCAGAGGCCTGAGGCTGCCAGGGTTAGAAATAGCACAGGAAAGAGATGGGGGCCGGGGAAAACAGGGCCCCACAGCTGATGAAGGGGAGGCAAGGGGTGCAGCAGCAGCTGCAGCTCAAGCCCTAACCCAGGGTTCAGTTCAGAGCTGGTGCCATAGCAGTTGCCTGCCCTCCACCTCATACTCAATTCCAAGATGAGGGGACCAATCTCCCCCCACCATGTTAAATGGGGAAGACCTAGTCTTGGAATAAAATATAATATACCATTACATATATTTAGAACTCCCAACAAACAGAAGCCTGCCATTTTCTTCCTGGGAAGGTGAGGAACCACCTTGAACATCACCTGAAGTGTTACAGGGCTGAACCACTCTCTCATAGAACTAGTTAATGTCAGTTATTTATTGCCATTGGTAGTCATCTTTCATTAAGACCATGTTTCCTAGATGAAGAATGTTTAATATCAGAAATAAAAGATGTATTTGATCTAAATTCCTTTTCAGATTAACCTTATTAAACTTACCTCAAGCTACAAACATGCAAAGTTAATTATATGTTTTATTTGTACGTTATTTTAAAGGGAAAAAGGTTTACATATATACCTTTGCTTTCATAATTCTTTCCTCAAACCAACAGCTATAGAAACAATTTGCTCCTACTAACAGAGCATCTGTCATGCATATATAATTTTCTAAATTAAGTTTGTGCATCAATATAAAGAATGATTAGAAGACTGAATAATTTAATGTTTAACAAGCCATAAAGCTTGCATCCTTAAAGCAGGCACATCATCAGCTGGAGGTGCAGCAATCCATAACACAAATCAAACTCCTCCTATTTATCTCCACAGATCCTGATGCTTTCCATTAAAATTTGAGATCATTCAAATAAGTGATCTTCCAAGTACTAGTTAAAAAGACAAAATTAGAAGATTTTTTTAAATGGGGACTATAATAAGCATGATTTCTAATGCTGAACTAAAAAACAAACAAAAAAACAACCACACAAACACTTTGGATTATTTGATTAAGCATTGTTTTGCTTACTGCATGCACGATAATTCTATTTTACGAGGAGAACCAAAGCCTCTGACTATGCATCCTTTTGACAGAACAGAGTCCCCTTAAGGAGAAACTACTGTTTCAATATGGTTAGATTATGGTTTCAAAGTTCAGATTGATCATATTAAATTGCACAAACTTCAGTACAACCAGTTTAAAGGGTTGTTCAATAACTGCCCCTCTTCTACTGTTAAATACACATTTGAACAAGTATGAGAAACAGAGAAAAAAGTATTTGCTAAAATCTGGACTCAAGTAAGTCTGTGCAAACATTAATGCAACAAACATTACAACCAAAAGGCCAAGAACATTTTGACCAGAAAAGCCATTTAATAAAATACTTTATTACTGCAAGGTACTAGTCATTAACTGTCGTGTTTCCCCTCTCTTGTTCAGTGTCAGAACATGGAATCTTGACACTCTTCATTGTTGTGAAAAATAAGTTCAACAAAAATTAACCCTCAGCGTTTCCAAAGTAAAGAAACAGTTGCCCAGCAAAAATGAAAGCAAAAAATTTTGCTATCTATAGAATTTGATGCCATTTAAATTGAAAAAAACATTATTCTACAAACACTAGCTGTAAAGTTTATGACCTAGTCAGATTAACAAAAAAGCTATTGAAACACTAAAAACCTGCTTTTTACTTGACATTTCTCTTGGAAAAAACAAATCATTTGTATTGACCCATACATTCAAACCCCAGGAATGTAACAGCTCCAGAGAAGTGAGGTGTCACGACCTTGAAAATGAGAGGAAATTCTTACTCTTAAGGGAGTCTTTAAAACTCTGCCAATTTTCTAACAGGCCTGCTATGAAATGAAGGAGCGCAAAACCAAAGGAATGTCAATATGCAAAGCTACAGGCATACACCTCAAGGATTTTATGCTAAGCTTATGCAAGGCGGCAGCAGAATGACAGCATATAAACATACCAAGCATAATTCTCGCAATTCAGAGTTAAAAAAAAAAAAAAAAAAAAATGCAACTAACAGCTGTGAGCAAGGATGGAAGTTCCTTGGCATCACCTCACCCCATGCAAACAGTACTGCTGACTGGCTACACGGTCAATCCTATCAATTTCCTTTCCTTAAACAACTTCCTACCCCTCCCTCCTACAGCGCGTGACCCAGCTCTCCAGACCCCTCGTAGCCCTGCAGCGCTGAGATGCCGTCGCTTAAGGCAAAATGCCGGGGGCTAGAGGCCGGCGGGGCCCGCGCAGACGAACACGTCGGCCCGCGCCTGCAGTCCACTGCGCCGCCTCCTAAGCGGCTGCCGCCCACGGTGCCTTGTGGCCCGGCCCGGCCCGGCCCAGGAGGGGGCGTCCGCGGGCGGACACTGCGGCAGGGCGCTCCCAGCCCCCTTCCCCATCTCCCCCACCCCGGGGGGCCGGCGCTGGAGACTGGCCCCCCGCGCTGCCAAGGGCGCCGGGCAGTCGCGACCCTGCTGGCGAGAGGCCACGGCCCAGCCACCGCCCCTCAGAGAAGGCGCGGGTCTGCTCAGGGACGCCGGGTCGCGGGGACCGAGGCGGCGCCTGCCTTGGGCGCAGGGGGGAACGGACCCCCCCGCAGCCAAGGTCTCCCCTGCCCACACACTTGATAGCGGAAGTGACGTATCAGGCACTGACGGCACCCGCCACCTATAGCAGACGGGCGTTGAGACCAACCGGCCAGTCCGTACCGCCCAGGGGTGGGACTTCCGGGCCTGCAAGTTAGTCTGGAGGGCGGGGGGGTACCCCTCAATGCGAAAAATGTGACTGGGAGAAGATGGCTGAGGCGGCCCAGCCCCGCCCCGCCCCACCAAAGCTGCCGCCGGGATCCAGCACGCTGCCTCCCCGCAGCCGACCCTGCAGATGCCTGCGCACCTGGGGGCAATCACCCCGGGAAGGCACCCTCCCCCCCGCGCCACCTCCTCGGGGCCCCGCCCGCAGCCTGCTACCTGCCGCAGGGTGACCCAGAGCAGCGCCCAGGACCCGGATGGAGTCCAGGCCGCCAGTGCCGCCGCTTGACGCAATGCACCACGGGAAGGGACGACGCGCCCTCCCCCGCGCCGCTCATTGGAGCAGGCGCCCACGGCCCCGCCCCGCTCCCTGGCGGCGATGGGGGAGGGGGAACGAAGCTACCCGTCGCTCACGGGACTCCCGCGCTCTCATTGAGCGAGAGATCACGGGGCTCCACCCATTTCGTGGGTTCCTGTTCGCTCATTGGGCTACAAGGCAGAGCCCCCGCCCCGGCCCGCCGCCATTTGTGGGGCCCCTCATTGGAGGAAGTGCAGAGGTGGCACCACCCCACCGCCGGCCCCATTGGGGACTGGCTGAGCTGCGGACCCCGCCCCCAAGGGTTCCCGCTGCTCCGGGCCCAACGGGGGCGCTCGGGCCCGAGCTACAGCGCGCGGCCTGGAGCGAGGGGCCCGCCCTGGGCATCCCGCCAGCTCCGTCTTTCCGAGGGTCGCGGCGCTCTGGCCGCGCGGTGGCGGGGTCCGGCCTCCGCTCCAGCCACTGCCAAGGAACCTGCCGGCCAAGACCGCTTGTGCCCCGAGGGGCCAGGATGGAGGCGGGGTGCGCGGAGCCGCCGCCGGGAGCGCAGCAGGGGCAGGATGCTGCTGCCAGGAGTTGTCACTGCCAGGAACCACATGAGTCCTTTCTTGTCCACGCCCTGCACAGTTTGCTACAGCGAGGAAAGACCCAACTCAGAAATCAGGTGTAGACGTTGGGCCAGGTTACAGCCGAGCCCCTTACGGGGGTGTCCCACAATGCTCAGCACCACATGCCTGAGGTCTCTGACCCTCCCTCCCTCCACTCAGCTGCTGAGCACCCAGGGCTGGTGTCAGCAGCTGCCCCTACCACATACATGTGGGCCACCTGTCGCAGCTTGGCCAGCCCTGCTTTAGCCCATTCTGACACCCCCAGCAGGTCCTGGGTCACAGCTCTGGGTGGGAGCTTATGCCAGCCAGGGGGGCACAGTTAGCTGTGGATGCTGCTGGCATGTCCTGCACTGGGTCTCCTGAACCTGCACATCCACAGCTGATGTCACCCACCCACTGGCAGAAGGCCTCACCCCAGTCCACAACAGATGCCACCACATCAAGAGCTGATGCTGAGTGGGAAGAGCCCCACCCACCTGGTACCATGCAATGGCTGGAGCCAGAGCTGCCCACAGATCAGATCCAATAAGCTTATGACAACCCACCCATGGGCCAGATTGAACCTGGCAGGTGGATCCAGCCCATGGGCCATATTTTGCCCACTCCTGTTTATTGCTCTGGGGCTCCCAGAGCAACGGATCAATCCACCTTTTGTTAGAAGATGAAGGGAATTTTCCTAGGGGCACAAATCTTGACATAGCTGGGATCTTCCACCTCTGTTGTAAACTCTGCCCATTGCTGCCCTGTCCACTCAAAGGCACCTGCAAATTCTTCCTCAGCTTTGGTCCCCTGCTCACTGCAATGAGTACTGTAACGGGGTCTACCAGGGCTGATCTCTGCATGGCCCACCCACCTGTTTCTGGGCAAATTGCCTGCCTTCTCACCTGTCATGCCTTGATCTTAATAATTAATTAATAGATAAAATTTAAGCGGGAGGCTGCCCATTTTGTGCCTCTGCTAGAGGGGCACCATCTGCAGCTCCATTCCTCCCCTACACCACAGCCCAGGCCTTACAGATGACCTCATGATGTTCTCACACACACAAGTCCTCCACAATGGGGCCCAGATTCCTACCGTAGGACCCCGCCTGGATTCCTCCCTTCAGGCAGACTGGCACTATCATACTAGGCCACATATCTCCCTGCCATCAGTTCCCCTTTGGGTGTGGTCCCCTCACTGGGACCTTTGGCTCACACTAGCCCCAGCCCACCCCCAGGCCAGTCAGGACCCCAGGCCCCCGGCTCTTGGGAGTCCCTCTCGGTGGGTCTCCTTGCCCTTCCGACCCTCCTGGTCCTGGCCCCCATCTGGACCAGTCAGGGGAAGCTCTGGCAGGCTTCTCTGTGACCCATACTCTTTTCCTGGGGTCCCCCACAGAGATGGGGAGCTGGGGTACCTCACACCATGACTGGTGCCTCAGGGTCTCACAAGGGACTCAGTTCCCCCCTCCCCCAGCAGCAGGTCATGGGGCTACTGCTGGTGTCATCTTTGACCCACACTGCCTCCCAATGGTGGAGGACTTATCGGGGTCAGGACTCAGCTCTCACTCTCTGGCCGAGTCCCCGTTCTTCCTTCAATGGGCTCCACATCTCTGCCCCTCACACTGGGACTTCTACTGAGGTTTCTCATTGCTGCCCCCTTAGTTCTCACACTGCCCCCTCACAACTGGGGCTCAAATAATTATATTTGACCCAAACTCTGCCTCCTGATGGTGGAGAACTTACTGGGGTCAGGACTCAGCTCTCCCACCCTCTGGCTGAGCCCCCATTCTTCCCTCACCACTGGGGGCATCTCATGCTGCCCCCCTCACCACTGGGGGCTTCTCACTGTTCATCTCACCCCCTTTACTCTACTCAGGGCTTCACTCTTTAGGGGGCTCAGGTGGCCAGAGCCATGCCTGCCCCCAACTCTACCACCTCAGGGTCTCAAACCCCACACAGGGCTCAGGCAGCCTTGGCCACACCTGACTTCTGACTCTCCACCTCAGGGCTTGCACCCCCACAACTACCTCCAATGGAACACAGCCCACCCAAAGGTGAGGGCTAAGGGTTAAGGCACCCCAACCCACACTTCACCAGGGTGATTACTAGCCTGGCATTTCCTGGGGGCTCCTACACCACTGGGAACCCCACCAGGCCACCCACTCCCAACAGGATGCAGTTTTAGGTCATACTCAGGACCAAGAGCCTCCTGACCATCCCCTACAGCTCTTCCCTTACCTCCAGATGAAACTCAACAGCCCTCTAGCTAAGCAGTATTATTGCCTGACCTCCAGGCAACCAAATTGCCTTGTTTATATGGGCAGCCCTGAACCCAAAATGGCTGCCCTCATTAGGCACCTGGAGGCTGCCAGCGCCAAGGCCTTAAAGTGGCAGGCACACACAGTGCTCTGCCATGTCATCCTTTTGATGAGGCTAGGTTTAAGGCAATGTGTATTTCTTTTCTTACTCCTGACATTAAGCCAATAGTGTCTTTTCTGGTTTGCTGTTTACCTTGACTATAGCAAGGCTTTTAATACAGTCTCCCACAACGTTCTTGCAGGTAATCTAAGGAAGTATGGGCTGGATGAATGGACTGTAAGGCAGATAGAAAACTGGCTGAAGCAGCAGGCTCAGAGGGTAGTAATCAGTGGCTCAATGTCTAGTTGGTAGCCAGTATCAAGTGGAGTGCCCCAGGGGTCAGTCCTGCAGCCGGTTTTGTTCAATGTTTTCATCAACAACCTGGAAGATGGCATAGAGTGCACCTTCAGCAAGTTTGCAGGTGACACCAAGCTAGGGGGAGTAGTAGATATGCTGGGGGGTAGAGCTAGGATTCAGAGTGACCTAGACAAATTGGAAGATTGGGCCAAAAGGAACCTCATGGGGTTCAACAAGGACAAGTGCAAAGTTCTGCACTTAGGACAAAACAATCCCATGCACTGGTACAGGCTGGGGACTAACTGGCTGGGCAGTAGCTCTGCAGAAAAGGACCTGGGGGTTACAGTGGACAAGAAGTTAAATGTGAGCCAACAGTGTGACCTTGTTACCAAGAAGGCTAGTAGCATACTGGGCTACATTGGTAAGAGTGCTGCCAGCAGGCTGCCCACTGCAGGCTCAGGGCTAGGGACTATGCCAGCCTCTTCCCAGAAGTAGGGGGGTGGGGTGGGGGTGCCGTGCAGAGTGGGCAAGCAGCAACACTGGTAGGGGAGGCTATAGGGAACTTTGGGGTGGCTGTAATCCCCCAAGCCCCGCTTAACATTCCCCCTGCTCAGGGCACTCTGCTCTTCTGCCTTTCCCTCGAGAACGCTGGTGCCCTGAACAGGGGCAGCACTAGTGGGGGTTTGAGGGGCTACAGCCACCCACAAATTTCCCATAGCCCCTCCCCATAGCCAAACCTCCCAGTGCTGCCACTGGCTGCCCCTCACAGCTGAGCTTACTCCACCCCTGACCATCCCAAGTGTAGCCCCGACCCAGCCCCACCTCCAGGAAGAGGCTGGTGCAGCCCCTGGCCCCAAGCCCACATAGGCAGTCTGCCCTCACCCCATGCACAAATCCAGGGAGGGCACATGCCCCCCATGCCTTCTCCAGGTGTGCACTCATTGGCAGGGAGCTTCCCCCCCTCCTCTCTCCCTGAACAAGTCACCTGTGGCTCTGTCCTACTCCGAGCCCCAGGGCAGGGCAGGTTTGGCTGGACAGCACCTGCCCCTACCCCTGCCCCTGCCCCAGTCCCACCTCACTGTGAGGCCTCAATCTACATGCCCCATGGCCCTTCCCTCCCCTCAACAGAGTTACCAGCCAGATGCTGTTCTCCAAGCTACCAGGCTGCATTCCTGGCCACGTGCATACTGTGGCTGTGCACATGCATGTGACATTTATTGGTGACATTATGAGCCCCAAAAGCCAACTGTTAATAATGTTAATTTTCCTGTTATCAGTGCCAATCCAATACGTGACAAATATATCAGCACACCTCTAATGAAAATGGTTTGGGGTGCTGGTGCACATGACTTATGAGGAGAGGCTGTGGGAACTGGACCTATTTTAGAGAAGAGAAGACTGAGGGGAAATTTCATAGAAGTCTTCAGTTACCTGAAGAGGGGTTTGAAAGAGGATGGAGCTAGACTGTTCCCAGTGGTAGCAGATGACAGAACAAGGAGCAATGGTCTCAAGCTGAGCAAGGGAAGTTTAGGTTAGATAGGAGGAAAAACTTTCTCATTAGGAGGGTAGTAAAGCACTGGAACAGCTTACCCAGAGGGGTTGTGGAATCTGCATCCTTGGAAGTTTTTGGGACCTGGCTAGACAAACCTTGGCTGGGATGATCTAGTTGGTGATGGCCCTGCTTTGAGCAGGAGGCTGGACTAGATGAGCTACTGACATCCTTCTAACCCTA